CCCTTCTTTAGCCAAACCTCCTACACTTACTGTTTAAAGTAGCTCATCCACCACCCAAACCAATACTCCATCATTTCTGACCCTCTTCCCCAAATTCTCTTACCCTATCCTGAACTTATTGTCTCAGCTGCCGTATAAGCGATTTATCTGTCCCTTTCATTCCGATATGCTGTAACGAACAAAACCGTACTTGAACAGTCAGATCCCCTCTTTAATAAAATTTAATAACTTGTGTGGCAGAAGTCGTGGGGCGTGTAACTCGTTCTGCCATGCTTGAAATAATTGTTCGGAAAGCTGCTCCGGTGTGATTTCAAGATCACCGTCTTCGACACTGCTGCCTCCCTCATCCCCAGCCTCGCATTGGGGCAAATCCGCGTCACTCGGAGCTCCAGTTAATGCCGGTTCATTCTCTTTATTTTCTTCCTCACCACCATCACGACGGTCATTCATGAGTGAGTGCGAAGATCTGGATAACAGAACTGAAAAAATAAACATTCACAGCGAGCCCCATCTACATCAGGAGGAGAGCTGTGGGCGCTGCACGAGGAAAAAGCGATTTTGGTGAGATGAACCCAAACCAGCCAATAGGTCGTCCAGCGCTTTTAAGAGGACGAGCATGCTTCTAACTGTAAAACAAACAAAACCCAAGAAAATAACTCTGGTACCTATCTCCTTGAAAATAATGCAGTATTTGCCACAAAGTTCGTTTCGGCGGTTGGTGTGTACCTCACAGTGCTGCGAGCACATGCGGAAAATTTTTACAACAGCAGTCATCGATTCTAGAGAAAAACGACCAAAGTGACACCAAAATGCGTTAGCACAGGTACCTAAATGCTTCAGTTAGGCTGTTCCAAGCTGTGCTGACATACCCCATACATGCTACCTCAAGTCACCCTGATCCCAATGTTACTAGCTTTCATGATGAATCTGACACAAAAGCGATGTGCCTCCAAACTGTCTTGCAACCCACCAGATTGTCTTGAAAATGTTAACCACAAGGAAGAAAACCCCCCCTTTGTTTATTAACCGCAACGAAACCAGGCAAGAAATCTGAACTGATATTGTAACCGCTGTGCGTCCCTCACAAGTACTGATGCATTTTAGGTTGGGCGCTTCCCTGGCCCAACGACCCACCAATCTATCCCCTGCATTCCCCCTCGGCACCACGTTTTGTCCCCTCCTCGTACCTACTTGTACATAAATTCCCACTGAATCAACTGTTTTTTCTTTTTAGTTTAACACTTATAGCTAGTTTCTTGAACTTCGTTGCCTCAGGCTTACCGCCTCTCCAAGTAAGCTGTCCAAAACGTGCACAAATGTTGCCTCCCACCTGAGCGATGTGTTCTCACCGCCAGCGATAGATAACTCCGTCTACTTCTGCCACACACCAGCAACCCTCCGCCACATCTCCAGGCATGTCACTTACAGGTGCTGCTAAGGCCCTGCCAAACTCTCGAAGGCAAAACCCTTGAGAATGAATACTTCGCTCGTTCATTTCGGTATGCTGTGCATGTGAATTACTGTAAAATAAGCGCAAATGCACTGAAAATGATGTAATCTTTAACGTTCAACGTCAAGGAAAAAAAAAAACATTGTAAAGCGGAAGTACACGCAGACTGAAATGAAACAGTGCAAATCCAGAAGAAAGTATTAATAAATACAAGCAATTCTATGATAACTGCAGCTGAAACCGAACAAAGGATGGCGTGCACTAGCACCAAACTTTCAGCTTACTTGTAGACAACTTTCGGAGGAGGAAACCGGCAAATATTGCTGCTAACATCTGCTACTGTCTGAGCTATTTCCGCGTGCTTTCGCCTCACATACAGAGTGTGCAGTAGCAGCTTTTCCTGGTTAGCAACCACGGCAGAAAGGTGATTGCAGAAGCGAAAAGCGACCATGTGAGCATCACCGCTCCTCCATTGTACACCTACGTATCAGAAGTGGTAGAGAAAGGATGGAGAAATGCTGATACCAGGAGCTAGCACGGTTCGTTGCTCTATTTCCCTTCTAGCGATGACAATAAAGTCTAATCTGAGTAATATCCTGCATACCATACAACTTAAGCCTACACTTCCTAACTGAGATGCCTGATAGGAGAGCAGGAAGAGAAATTATTTCTTGCCAAGCACCAAGAAATA